ATCAATTCTTATTCTCTCTGAGCTTAATACTTATTTTTATTCTCTCTTTTACTAAACCTACCCTCTTTTTACAAAATTCCGCATTCACAAGACCTAGATACACCTAGCATTATTCGAAGTTGCCTTCGCCCTAGACGTGAAAGGTTTGATATTTCTAAGGGTTTGGTTCCAAATCTCTCTTTCAATTATTTAATTTAATTGTTTTAATTATTATTTTCCTTGAAGTTACTAACGCGTGTATTTTTTTATTAGAAAGAGGTACGAGGCATCCAAATAAGTGCTTTAAAGGTTTTTATTGTTATTATGATGTAGAAATCATGCTTAGGTTGCTATTATGATTCCCAGCGTCATGTTAGGGTGTTTTGATATTCCTAGTATCATGTCTAGGGTAACTTTAATATCAAGTATGATTAAAAATATGATGCCTTTTATGTTCTTCCTAATATTTATGATTGTTAGTATCATGTTAGGGTTAAAGTTTTGATTTTTATTGTTTAGTGACATGCTAGGGTTTGTTATAATTAATCTTGTTAGTATCATGCCTAGGATCTTGCTATTATTATTATGCTTTATTATTAACATGATGATGATGATTTTTTATGATTATAATTGTTATAATAATTTATTGATATTATGTTGCTTGATATTTATTGTTATTGCTTGATCACGCCTTTTATGCTTGTTAAAGGGAAGTAGTACTTGTAATCACGCTTATATAAAATATAAGATAATTAATAATCTTGTTTAGGGTTAATTCGATTATAATTCAAGTGATCGCCAATAATAGTTTTATTTGTGCATTAATATTCAACCAACATAGATAAACAGGTTTAGGGTTAATCCTATTGATTGCATGTTAGTTAGAAAGCGCACATGAATACGATAAAAATAAAATAGAGGCCTATTATTAGGGCAGGTTCAATCTCTTTTAGGTTGGATTTGTACCTTCATCCCCGAACTACCAGTCATGGTTCAAGAACTACTGGAGTTGACGATCTCCTGGATCGTTAAGGGGTGTAACCTTCACCCTGTGAACGGCTTACAAGTTCCTAAAACTTATTGGCGACTCTTTTGCTCTATCTTCTTTTCCTTTGGACCCCACCGTACTTTAGTGTATGATCACAGTGGGGTTCAATCTAGAGGTAGTGCTTAAAATATTCCCTACAGTATCACGTTGCATATATTGTTTATTGATAAAATTTTGAAAAAGGGAGATCTAGAGGCCGCCACACTTTGGATAGAATAACGATTCTTCCTTAAAAGCAACATTATTTTAGTACCCTCGCTCCCGAACATTTCTAGTACAAGTAGACCAATTTGGGCATGGGTAAACATATGATTCATGCTAAATATCACTTGAACCCTACTTGGGAGAAGGGCATGAATGAGGTCTATGAGTTTGCTTAAAACTCATTGGCAACTCCTTATTAGTTTCTTACAAAAAAGCATAAAGATAAAATCAATTTTAATTCAAGGTCTCCCAAATGGTCAGAAATTCAAATCCTAATACACCTTAAAAAAGTGTAAAGTCTTAGGCTTTGAAGGGCCATGTGCATAGAGGAAGAGGATCGCCTACGACAAGCACACCCTCCTCACAATAGTTTGAATATGTTTCCCCAAAATACTTATTATCACCTGTTACCTATTATGCATGTAGTAGCGGTACATTGTTCCATCCTATATGTTTGCTAACAAATAACAGTTATGAGTTAAGGGTTAACCATAAATTTTTAACTATGAATGCTATATCTTTTTCCTATAATCCTATGTGGCGAGGCACAAAATTTCACTAATTTTTTAAGAACATGAAAAACTACAATGTTTAGTAATTTTTAGGAAAAAATTTAAATTACCACCCAAAAATGTAACCATTTTCGAACTAACCACCCGTTTAATTTTTTATTTGAAATTACCACCCCTTAAATTAAATAAATGCTCAGATTACCACCCATTTTAAAAATCCGGTGGATTTTCTGTCTGTGGGCTCCACCTAACGCTTATTTTGACCCTTTTACTGATTTTTTTCCTCGAGTTTTCTCTTTAAAAACGTTCTCCTAACTTCAATTCACATTTCCTTCACCAAATTATACCCCAATTATAATGAAATTTGGTAGAATTTGGTGAAGTAAATGTGAATTGAAGTTAGGAGATTTTTTTTAAAGAGAATAATCGGGGAAAAAAAATCAGTCAAAAGGGTCAAAATAAGCGTTAAATGGGACCCACGGACGGAAAATTCACCAGATTTTTTAAATGGGTGGTAATCTGAGCATTTATTTAAGTTAAGGGGTGGTAATTTAAAATAAAAAAAATTAAACGGGTGGTTAGTTCGAAAATGATTACATTTTTTTATGGTAATTTAAAAATTAACCTAACTTTTAATGAATTTTTCGTTGGGAAATAAAGAGAATTGAGGGAGAATATAGAAATAATTATGTGGCTTTAATGGAGGAGATTAAGCATAGAGCACACTGCAAGCCTTCAATGGAAAGCTCAGATTAATGGAATGGAGGAAAAAGAAAGTACGCAAAGGAGCACTAGCATACTTCATAGCAAACAAAACCTCTATAAATGGAACCTCTCATAAGTTAAGTCAGTCCAGCTATGCAGCTCAACGATTGAGAGACAAGGAGTGTATACCAGAAGTGTTATGACAATAAATAAAACCATCTTTGTGTTGGATCAACGTGAAAAATACTTATGGATTGCTGATTAAGGCTTAAACACATAAAACCACTATCTTGACCCAATACGAAATGAACCAAAGCAAATTAAAACTAAGCCCGATCAACATCTAGGCCTAATCCCGAGATTAAACCTAATTTTGACGGATTTAGAGGCGCCTAGGTTAAAATCCGAGGCTGTCGCAGGAAAAAACCGCGCGCAACTCAAGGAGTCGTGCTGACTTGGCAAGCGCAAACCACAAGGTTGCGCGTGACGCCTGGCGCAACCTCTAGTGGTGCGCTCGCGAAAGTTTTAGAATTTCATAAAAATACTGAATCGAATCTTACCATAAAGCCACGCGCAAGACAATTATAACAGCGCAACTTAATCACTTACTCGCAGCAGCTGCGCGCGACCTATCGAGATGCGCACGCCACCTGCTGTGACAAAATAATGTTCAAAACCCTAAATGCATCCATTCCCTATAAATAGAGATTTAATTGAAATTAACTCGAAAGTTATTGGGAGAAACTTTGTGAACTTATGTACTAATCATTCCCTTGTCCGAAACACTCACCCTTTTAATTGTTTGTTCTTACAGTGGAGGTTCCCGAACAAGAAGTAGTCAATAAGTGTTCTAAACAAAGATCAAGCAAGGAAAGTAGTAAATTATCGAGCACTTAGATAAATCACTTGTTCTTTTCTTGTTCAAACAACTTTTAATCAACTAATTAGTGTTGTTTGATCATCTTAAATGAACCTTAATTAATTCATTCACATAGTAGTCTTACGTTAATTAAAGACTAGAATTGAATAATTAATTGATTGTTTTATCATCTAAGCCAAGGTGAATCTTGTTTATTTTTGTTCTTTCATGAATTTGAATAAATAAGAATAGCGACATTTGCAATGTAATTCCTACGTGATTAACGTGTGTAAATGAAATCAACTAACTTAGTTTTAGTATCACGTTCCATATATTGTTTGGTAATGAAATTGTGGAAAAGGAAGAGGTAGTAGAGGCCGCACTTGGGCTAATATAGCGATTCCTCCCTAAAAGGAACGTTATCCTAGTACCCTTGCTCCCGAACTCATTTATGGTACACGTAGACCAATTTGGGCATGGGTAAACTTATGATTTATGCTAAATATCCCTTGAAATTTACTTGGGAGAAAAACATGAATGGGGTTTATGAGTTTTCCTAAAACTCATTGGCGACTCCTTATTAGCATCTTACAAAAAAGCATTATGATAGAATCAATTCTAACTCAAAGTTCCCAAACATTCAATAATTCAAATTCTAACACATCTTAAAAAGCGTAAAGTTCTAAGCTTTTAAAGTTCCCCAAACATATTTTACTCTTCTAAGTCCCAGGCTTCAAAAACAAATTTTGTTCGCATCTTATCTATGATTATTCTATTCACTAAACAATTTTAGCTAATTTGGAGTAACTTTTAACGTTTTTGGGATAGCTTTAAATCTAATATTATTTTAATGTAAATAACCCAGTTATAATTTTTAGTAATCTTATAATTTTAAATACACATCATACTCCACCTAGAAACGCCACTCCCAAACCCCATACCCAACACTAGAAACCACCCTAAATGCATTTCTATGTTGTAGGAAAGGGATTTAGGGTGGGACATAACATTTCCGATAAGGGGAAAGGGTGATGGAGATAAGGGAAGCAGGAATAGGGAAAGGAGAGGGGTAGGGTGTCGTGGGTGGGAGAAAAGGAGAGGGTGGGATAGTCGGTGCCGAAAGAGGTAGGTGGTTGCTGGCCGTAGTGGGAGGGGGGCTGGCAGTGGGTGGAGGAGCGATGGCTAGGATGTTTTTAGTTTATTTGATATACACCTTAATAATTTGATTGTTAATTAAAATAAATTCTTTTTTGATAATTAATCAAAAAAATAAATCTTAATTAAGTCTTTTTTAAAAAAGAACCAACCACATAATGACACGTATTATATTTTACTTTAACAGCTTATTTACCTTTTAATCTAACAGGTTTTGAATCATTTTGAGAAAATATTTTATAAAAGTAGACTTAGGCCCTGTTCTCTTCACCTTAATTTTGCTGAAATGAAATTATTTTTACTGAACTGAAATTATTTTTGCTGAACTTAAATTATTTTTACTTAACTCAAATTAATTTTATTGAACTGAAATTATTTTTGCTTAACTGAAATTATTTTTACTGATTTTCTATTATAATTCTTCTTTTCTGAATTTTACTGAACTGAAATTATTTTTACTGAAATGAAATTAATTTTACTGAATTGAACTTATTTTTACTGAATTAAAATTATTTTTACTTAATATTATATTTTTAAGGTGAATAGAACAAGCCTTATTTTAAGTTAATCGAAAAGTTTACTTATTTTGAGGTAACCACACAAAGATTTATTTTTATTGACAAATCTTTCCTAAGATCTTAACATTCAAGCCCAAAAAAAACAAACGACGAAATGTTAATCCTAAATTTTATCAACAAATCGAAATGTCGCCTCAGCACAAAACTAGTTAATTTCAATTACCAATATGAGCTTTCGGAAGATTTTGCTATAAAAAAAAAAAAAAAAACATAAAATAAAAAATATTTGTAAGGAAATGGGAAGCACGGCCACCGGCTAACGGTCCAACTCTAACAGCTTTGACAAAAAACCGCCAAAAAAAAGTTGCGTGTCATGACTCATTAATCTGCTTTTCTAGAATCCCGACAGTCGAAAATACCACACCATTTTCTATTTTCCACTGTTTTGTTTTCCTTCTTCTAACATTTTCTATTAATTCGTCAAATCACGAGCCTCAGCTTTCCTCTTCCTCTATTTCTGGACTTGTCTTAATTAATTAATCTAATGTGGGTCCCACTTTCCAAATTCTCTGTTTCTTCCCTCCTTTAAAAGTCAACATCTTTTCTTCTTACATTTGCTCCCACCCTTAAAATCATTGGATAGAAATATAAATAATGGCTCCTGCTGTTACAGTTGATGTTGAATATGCAATGAAACTAAGGGAAGATTCTAGTGTTGTAAAAAACAGGGGAAATAATATGAAGAAACAGAGGAAATCAATGTCTTTGCCTAGATTTGGTTGTTTGAGATTGGATGATGAATCTAAAACTGTTGATAGGAAGAATCAGAATGATGGAAGTATTGATATGTTTTCTACTGCTGGTGTTGTTGATGATTTTGATCGTGATCGTCGTCTTCCTACTCATTTAATCGTTATGGTTAATGGTATTATTGGCAGGTTAGTTGGTCCATTTCATAATCACAGTCTTTTGTTTGTTAAGTATTCAATTCATGTTATTACCGACTTTTTTTATTGAGATGTGATAGTACTGTTTAATTCATAGAAATTAATAATCACGTGTACTATTGAGGGATTTACGTTACTACCGACATCTTTAACTTAGATGTAACAGTAGTTTGCTGATATTTTTAGTGTTGATTGTGGTGTATGTGTGTTATGGAGCATGGTATTAATTTGATGTCAAATGCAATCTATTGCTAGATTTAGTAGGGTATCTAATCAGGGCCAGACTAAGAATTTTTCTTTTTAATATTCTTTTATTAGTAAATCCTTGTAGAGTGATCAAGTACAACATGTACAAACACATGTTTGGATTAAGGGTAAAGAATTTTAACAAGAGGTTTCGGATTTGAACGGAAACATTTGTTGAGTGAGCTTTCTTCAAGTTTAGTACGTTTAAGAATTATAGATGAGGTACCCTTATTAGCATTAGTAAGTTAAACTAGTAGTTAGATTAGTTGACATTCCTAAAAATAAAAATTAGCTAGTTGTTTATTTTTTGGTGATTAAGGAGGGTGTAAGAATCGATCCCAGAATCTGAGATCTGGAGGGAACCTCTACCACTTGAGCTATCCCTCACTCTTAGCTAGTTGTTTATTAGTTCAATTTTCATTATAATGCTAAGACGATCAGAACTAATTTGATTTTTCCCTGTCATGGATGTTTGTATTATAGACAAAGCACAAATCTTTTTTTTTTTTTTTTTTTTTTTTTTTTTTTTTTTTTTTTTTTTTTTTTTTTTTTTTGCAAATTAAAACGATGCAGTCATAATGGAGTGAAGTATGAGTGTTACTAGTAAATCCAATTTCAATAATTTTATAATTTTGTGCATGATGTTACAAATGTCATTGATCACTTATATTGCTTATAACTAAAATTAGACGTTTCTTGTGCATTTGAGGTGCCAAATGTGATGATTGAGGGAGATTGGTGATCATGAAATTAATATACCTTCTCATATTTGTGCTATGTCCTTTTATGTTTACTTTCTATTGATCTATTCTACACTCATTTTGAGATTCTTTTAACAGTGTAAAACTTATTGAATCTCTAATTGTATGTGGTTTTTAATTTGATCTTAACTCAAATACTTTTTTGTGATCCATGCAGTGCAGAGGATTGGAGATATGCTGCAAAGCAATTTCTGAGGGCTTACCCTGAAGAAGTTATAGTTCACTGTAAGAATTGAATACCGACTTCTATTAGGAGTTAGTTTAATGCATTTTGCAATCTGTCTCACTAATCTACAGTTTATCTATGCTATTATATTAATGCAATAATATCTTTAGTCCTCATTATTGTTTGCTAATATGCAATGTGCAGGCAGTGAAAGAAATACTTCAACCTTAACATTTGATGGAATTGATGTGATGGGTGAACGACTAGCAGATGAGGTTGGTGATGCTTGTCAAATGAGTTGATCATTTTTCTTAAAAATCTATTCGAATTCTTACATAATGATCAATTTCTTGATTAAAAGGTAAAATTGTTTTACCCCGCGTATGTAATTGATAATGAATATTCTAATTATGCATACGCATCAAACTGCCATTACACGATAAACTATATATTATGGAGTAACTTGAAGATCTTTACTCAAAATGTTGGACTTAAGTTCTGTGCTGTAATAAGACCTCTTGACACTTCTGATTGCAGGTGATAACAGTCATACATCGCTATCCACATCTACGCAAAATTTCATTCATAGGTCATTCTTTAGGTGGTATGATTGCAAGATATGCAATTGCCCTGCTTTATGGGGATAACTATTTGAATAGACTATTAAAAGTAAATGTAGAAACTACTGGAAGCAATGGGTGTGAAAAATTAATGCAACAACAAGATTATATTGGTAAGATTGCTGGTCTGGAGCCTGTAAATTTTATAACATTTGCAACGCCGCATCTTGGTTCAAGGGGACACAATCAGGTAATCAGTTTGAATTTATTTTTTCATTTTGCCTCAATTGTCGCTAAATATCACATCTCTACACTCTCTATTTCTTGCTTAACTCAGCTATGCATTTTAAAATTTAAACAGTTCTGCTTGGCATTCAGATATTCATTGTACTGGACAAGTATCTATTAACTATTACATACATTGTCTCAAATTGAAATCTTTCTGCTGTCTAGCAACTTCAATTAAAGTAAGCAATGCGATATATACAACCCGTTATAGGAATACGATCACAAAATAAGTTGAGCATATAAATGAAGCTTGATCTTTTGGCTTTGGTTACTGCCAAAAGAATTTCTGTACTATTAACTTATTAGGCTTGTAATTATCATTTCATTCTTAAAACTTATTATGCCTTGAATTTGTTGTTCTTGGCTAACCTGTTTTACCACCATTTCCAGGTTCCAATGTTTTTTGGCTTCCACACATTAGAATTAATAGCGCGCCAAACATCATGGTTTCTTGGAAGAACAGGAAGGCATCTGTTTTTGACCGACAAAGATAAGGAAAAACCCCCTCTTCTTCTTAGGATGGCAAATGATTGTGAGGGTCTTCCATTCATGTAAAGCTGCCTATTCTTTTTCTTCATTCTATTCCAAAGTTAAATCTGTAGTAAATATTTTCATTTGTTATTGACTTGGTTACTTCTACTGATATACTTTTAATGTTCTCTCAGATCTGCATTAAAATCTTTCAATCGCCGTGTTGCCTATGCAAATATGCGCTTTGACAGTATCCTTATTTGATATTCTTTTAGCTTTTAAGTTGTACTCCCTCCATTTAATAGTGAAATTTGAGTTGTTCCTTTGATGCAAAATAAGTGCCTTTGTGTATTTGGAAACAATGTATACATTAAAACCATGCAAACTTCAAACATAATGGATCAAAGTTTGAGCATCAATGACTATCATAGTCATTAGACAACTACTGATTCCTTTGAAGGCCTTAACAGTGTCTAAAGAGCTTGTTGGATGGTGCACATCTTCAATCCGGCTTGAAAATGAACTCCCGAAGGTAAGATTTTAGCCCTGAAGATTACGATCCATGAATGTCATATACATCAAAAATTATTATAAACATTGCTTCTGAATTACCAGGCCACATTCTAACCAAGCATTTTATTTCTTGCAGAGGCGACATATACTGAGAAATGACAAGTATCGGCACATAGCAAATGTGGAGACAGGAGTAGTTTCTTACAATCAACGAGCCTCTACTATGGAGTCCATATTGAATGGGTGGAAAAGATTAAGAACTCGAGGTTTGTTGCTTTATGTTCAAATATATTCAGCATTTGTTATCAAGTCATCATTTATTAATACTTGCACTCAAGCAGATTCCTGCTTCATTACTTAATATACATTCTGTTCGGAGTGACTTTGCAGAAATGATGGAAGAAATGATCAAGGGACTAACCGCAGTTAGCTGGGAAAGAGTTGATGTAAAATTTGGTGGTGGTAAACATCGATTCGTTGCTCATAATTCCATTCAGGCAAGCTTTATATTGTTTTTCTTCTAAATAGTGACATAGTGTAAGGAGTACCTAGAAGATTTTTTTCAAAATTTTTAAAAATGGTTATGTTTAGTCATTGCTTCTCATGTAAACATGTAATCATATTTTGCAGGTGCAACATTATTGGATGCATTCATCTGGAGCTGATGTTATAAAACACATGATTGACAATTTTGTCCTGTAGATGTAGAAATTATAGTTAGCCTAATCCAAAAACTTTGAAAAAAAAAGGTGTAGATTCAAAATGTATATAGAGATAACAGTACAAATTTGGGGTCTCATTATTGTGAATTATATTTTGGTCTCTGCCTATGTGTACATACTTCATATCTATGAACAATTAAGTATATGAACAATTTTAAAAACCAATAAAGTTGGAAAACAAACAAAATTAAAAGCTCATGCACTTCTTTGAGTATTTACTAGTCTTATAGTATGTCAATTTTGAACATGAATAATTTCTGACCAATGTCACAACAATAACTCTAAATAAATATAAATTCGTAAATAAGATACTATGTTAATTGAGACAAACTACTAGTCTACTACAAGAGGGGGTGAATTTTTAGTGAGTTCTAGTAGAAAAAATTGCGGGGAATTTAAACAGAAAGCTTAAAAAAACTTTAAAGTACGGAATGAGATATACGAGGAAACCTTCCAAGGCCCAACTGGAAGTAAAACTTCAACCCTTTACCAGATTTTGCAATTCAACCATTTTAATTTTACTACTTGTATAATATAGGGCAACATTTCTAATAAAAAAATATAAGTTCTGAACTTGTTACTCGATAGGACCCTTTCCTACATAACCTAAGTCCCAACTTAAGTTTCACTTGGCATTCCCAGAGTACTACTCACCCGGCTTCTCACTAGAAGCTCCCTCACTATGTAATCTCAAATTATAAACAAATCCTCTCGAATTCCCACACCCCAAAAACCGATTCCAACACATAGAATCACTTCTAATATATAACTAGTTTGGGGCCCGGGTTCTCCTGGTTATGCATGTTTAAATACAAAATGAAAAAAAAATTACCTTGAGTTTAAATAGTATCTTTGAACATTACAATAAGTTTAAATAATAAAATAAAAATGATAAATTTTTAGAATCCTTAATAAAAAGTTACAAAACATGGATGTTAATTAAGCAATAAAGTGACATTCATTGGGAAAAGAAACAACAAATATAATAGAGTAAAAATGAATTTTATTCATGGTAAATCAAGGTTAAATTGTCTACTTGGTAGTATAACAGAGGTAATGAAATATTGGAAATTCCAAGGATGTAATTGTTCAAATCATATCACTAATAAATAAAGCAAGTCTCACAGTCAGGCCACGAGATATTGACAGTTATCATCATTCCAGTTTTTCGCCACGCCAGGTAGGCGACAATTAAATATTAACATGATATGTAAGATTTATTTGAATATATTTTTTTGTGGAATAGGATAAAAAAGTTTAATAGACATTGTATGATACATATGTTATTTTACTGTTTCATTTTTAACAAAATTTGGATACATTTAATAAGATTAAAAAGTTATTTTAGAGTTTTATTTTCAATAATACTTTAGGTTTATAATTTTATTTTCAATATAATATTAATATTCCTATACAAATAACGGATCTAAAGAGGTAAAAAAGGAAAAAAAAAATTAAAGAGACTTGTTAACCTGTTATAATACATAATTGTTCTCTTAAGTCTAAACATATATAATTTTTTTTGTACAACAAATAATATATATATTTTAGATAAAAAGGTTTATTTTAAAATTCAACAAATAACCCAGGCATCGCACGGGGCACAAAACTTCTTAGATAAGAGTGACATTAATTTCATGATGAAACCCAAAATCAAAATAATAAAGTTTTGCCTTAGCAAACTTACACTTAAATGCTCTGTAGGTTTTCACACATAAACTCACACTTTGCATAGAAAACATTCCTTCTTATTTATAGAGAGGATACTAAACAAAGTAGGGTTTGTAAAGAAATTATAAGCTTAAGATTAAAACAGATTTTTAGTACTTATCACGTCAAAACAAAAGTGCAGTAAGATTGATTTTATTTCTAGGAAACCTTTTGACAAAATCGGAATATGAACAAATAAAGTTTTAATGAAAAATATACAATCTAAGTAAAATAGATTTTACAAGATAAAATCAAGGCAAAATTGGCCTCAACACTCTGAGCTATGGCTTGAGTACACCCAGCACCCCGACTTTGCTTAGTTGCTAAAACACCACAAACTAATAACTTGGGTGCAAAGCGCTTTAGTGAGTTTTCTAGCAGCCATTCACACCGAACTCGGTGAATTAAGTTTTATTTTTCGATTTGCCACCATTCACACCTAATGTAACACCCCCAAATCTCCCTCTACGGAAATACTAGTATAATACGTATAATTATACCGTAAAGATAGACTTAGGCGTATTACCGCCGCGTGATTACGCAAGACTACTCAACTTACTAAAAATCAGCGGAAACTCAAATACTCTTCTTTATTAATAATAACCATAATAGTAACCATTGTTATGAGTACTACAAATAGATACAAGACCAAATTCCTAATTTAGTGAAAACCAATCCCGGGACTCCAATGCATCATTTATTGACTCCAACCTGAAAATAAGCAACACTGCTTACCATTACGGTAAACAGGGCGAACCAAAACAAATAAGAAGTACGAGTTAGCAAAATATGCTAAGTACGATAAGTGCAAGATCATTAAACTCAATTTATTCGCAAACATGCTTTAAAACCAATTTCCAATAAATAATCCAATAATTCCAAACTCATGGTTTAAAACCAATTCTCAATAATTCCAATATCAATAATCAATAAAACCAATTCCAATTATTTAAAAACCAATTCCTCATATTAAAACCAATTCCTCTCCCAAGTGTGCACACCCCCCAAGCTAGTCTCCTTATGTTACAAGACTATTCTTGAGGAAAGACCCGGTCATACAAAGTCCAAGATCTTATCAATAAACCAAATCCGCATAGTGGGATTACTAACATGCTTATAAAGCATAATAATACATCAATGATTCAATCCAATAATTCAACCTTTAATGAAAACAATCCAAACTCATTTTCCATAAATCCAACTTACTTTCAAAATCAATCCTTTTTAAACATGAATAATAAATTGATTAATCAAAACATGTTATAAAAATCAATACTCCAATTTAATTATTAAAACCAATCCTTTAAACATACTTTTAATTCATAAACCATAATTCAATTCAATTTAATTCAATTCATCATAAAATCATTCAAACATGTTATTCAAATCGATCACTTTCAAGGTATTTAGCCACCTAACGTACCTTGATCTTCACTTAGCCAACAACACTTCAAAAGAACTCTCAAGTAGCTTGATAAAAAACACCCTACAAATAAATATAACCTTAATCAATATAAGGTTAACAAATAATCACAAATAATTAAATTAAACCCTCCCAACTATATGTACATGAACCTCTTAAATTAATTCAACATGAACATTATAAAAATCTGATTTTATATAATTAAAACTACTCATAATAATTTTATATTAATCTCCCATAATAATAATAATAATTGAATAAGAGAAAAGGAGAAGAAAAGAATTGGATTTGCGTAGGAAATAATAGGCAGAAATTTCAGAGGCTATAACTCATTTGATATAGCTTCTAATTGGGTGATTCTTGAGCTTAACCTCAATTATTTTTCAAGAGGAACAACTTTTTGTGAAACGTCACTACCCCAAAAACTGACCAGAAGTGCCCGAAAATTGTCTTCAAAGATGAACGAGATGATTTGTGTAAAATTGAGGAGAAGAAAAGAAGAGAATTGGTGTGAAGAATGTGAGAGGTATGAAGGGGTATTTATAGGCTAGTATGAGCATGAATTATGGTAGGAAAATGTAGGAAGAATTATTATAATTAGGGTTTAAGAGATTACTTGGAGAAGTGAGCAAAGATTTAAGAAAAGTTTTGATATTTGAAGAGATTGTGTATAATTGAATATGGAAGGTATATATGTCATGAAAAATAATAAGGAAATTGGAATTACTTGGGGAATAATTAAGAAGAATTAATGGAAAGAAAATATAATGATTGGATATCAAAAAGATGGGGAATTAGAATTATGGAAAATAGGATATTTTTAGAAGATAATTAAAAATACAAATTACCAAAATATTTTCCCAAAATCTTCATGGGATGGCCGAAATTTTTGAGCTTTCCTAAGCTCATATTTTCGGCCCTCCTATTTAGTATTTAGGAATATATTTTGCTAGTTTTAAGGAATTAAAAATAATTGTAAAATTAATATTTATTGTAATAAATAATTAAATAACAAAATACCAAATATTTACCAAATAATTTAACTAAATAAAAATCATATTTTCACATAGGAAAATCCAAAATTATTAGCTAATTAATTGGGACTTTCGGACCTATTGAAATAATAATAAAATATAGCTTTTGCCTTAATTAAAATATCTGAAATGTAAATAATCCGGTTTTTAAAATAGGATAAATGGATAATAAATCTTATCCAAAATAATGATTATTTTTCAAAATACTTTTGGCGCCAAAATTCAAATATCATTTTGGCTCCAAGATTTAAATAGTAATTTGAATTACTAAAATACCCTTTTTAGAAACTAATAATTAATTAGGAAAATACGTATGAAAATACGGGGTATTACACCTAAATCTTTATTACGAGACATTTTTCGGCACTCAAATAAAAAAGAATTTCACCTGCTTCGGCAAGAATGGTGGCCGGAAAACTCACTAAAGGTGCACTTTGCACCCAAGTCATTAGTTTGTGGTGTTTTGAATACGAAGCAAAGCATAGGGTGTTGTGTGCACCCAAGCCATAGTAAGGCCAATTTTGCCTAAAACCAAAGTAGATTCTTTTTCATAAACTCAAGATTATCTCTAGTAACTATCCAAATTAATTTGCTTGCCAAGCTTTATCTGATTTCTAATAAGTTTAATGCATAACAGTCAATTATATATTTACACCAATCCTAAATAACATGTCAAAACCAAAATCTTTAAGTTTATCTTTAGCTTGGTATTTCGAGCTCTCTGAACTATTCACTAGATCTTGGGATGATCAAGTTCCTAATAGGAATTGCAATCCAGGTCGTAGTAACCTGATGTCTTTCTTATTTAGCATCTTGTTGGAACTTAGTTATCTAGAACTTGCTATCATCTTCCCAGGCCAAGCTTCACTCAAGTTGTTGTATTCTTCGCAGTCTAAGCTTCACCTGTCAACTGCGCTTGATGTCATGCTTCTGTTCCATCTAGCTTTGTTCTGAGAAGCTCTTCTTCTAATCTTACTTTCCATCATCCTTAGTTTCTCTTGAGTCCCTCTATTCAAGGCCTTAC